GGGGGGGAGAAGGGAGGGGGAAGCAAAAAAAAAAGAGTAAAAAATGTTTGGTAACTGCTGATTAAAGAGCCTTGTGGCATAGTGGTTAAACGGCTGTACTACAGCCAAAAACTGCTCACGACCTGGGAGGGTTCAATCCCAAGTAGCTGACTCAGAGTTGACTCAGCCTTATATCCTTCCGAGGTCGGTAAAATGAGTACCCAGCTCACCGGGGGGGGGGGGGGGAGGTATGTGTAGCCTGTGTAATAAATTTGTAAACCAGCCAGGGAGAGAGTGCTTAAAACACTATGGGGCGGTATATAAGAAGCATGCTTTTTCTTCTTTTATTTAAGGGAAGTGAGGAAGGAAGGAAAGAGAAAGACATCTAGAAGAGGGAGAAGAAGGGAAGGGAAGGCAGGCAGAGAGAGGAATGCAGCAAGCATTGAGAAAAACTGAGGCCAGAGATCCCGAGGAGTCCTCCTGGCCTCCCCCGGCCGGTGAGAATCCAGGCCTTAAGCCATTCCCCTCCTGGGCCTGTGGGAGCCCTGCTTTATTTTTTATTTACTTTATTTATTTATTTAACTTATGTGCCGCCCACACTACCCAAAGGTCTCTGAGCGGCTTACAACAATTAAAACACAGTAAAAAAGATAAAACAATTAAAATACAATTAAAATATATACAGTACTCTAAAAATTGCCATCAGGACCCACAGTTGATATTATACTGTGATATCACAGTATGATATCATGCTCGCCCCCTCCAGCTGGCTTTGGCTGGGGCACCCCCAAGAGGGAACAGCATAGAAGGATTAGTACATGATATGGGCTGTGGGTGGGGGGAGAAAGGGGCCTGCAGGAGTCCCCGCTCTTCCCTCCCCTTCCCTTCCCCATAGCAAATGTTCACATTGGCTGAGAGGCAGAGGATCTCCCCTACACACTGTGTGCCCCTCCTCAAAGGAGGCCAGCAAGCTCCTTTGATGCCCCCATGGGGAGATGAAAAGGAGACACATAAGTACTGACTCTACCGCCACCCTCCTTTTATTTTTTCTCTTCCCCCCCCACCCCCATTTAATGCCGAACAATATTTTGAGATTTAGAGTCCTACCTTCCTGCCTTCGTTCCTAATTTTACCTTTTGATTTGGGCCTGGTTTGGACCCACAGGGATTGCGCAGGTGCTCCAGATGCCCGGTCACATTGTGGGCTTCCCTGCCCCAACTCCTCCTCTGATTGGTGCCTGCATGAAGAGATAGGGCAGGGCATCTGGAGCACCTGCACAATCCCTGTGCGCCCAGATGAGGCCCAGATCAATGACTGAGATTAGAATGGAAGGCAGGAAGGAAGGAGGAACCTAAATCTCAAAATATTGTTGGGCACTAAATGGAGAAAAGGTGAGGAGAGGAGAGAAAAAGAAGGGACGTTGGTGAGAAGAGTCCATGACGGCTCTGCTGAGGGTTCATGGCGCACCAGGGGGGCAGAGTGTACCCTTTCGGAACCCCTGAGTTATGTGATGCTACATAACCATAGCATGCCTTGGTAACAATGTTACATTTAATATGAGAGTTCTGGAAATCAAATACATATTTTCTTCATTTTTAGAAATTAGGATGTAACAATAATGTAGATCAGAACCACAGAACAGCACATTCATTGATTTAATGTCCCAAAGAAACTCCCAGGCTCAGTAATATGAGGATAACTATCCTTGTTTGTTCATTCATATCATCTTGTATCCAGAGATGTCTTGAATGCCATAGTTTCATAGTGATCAATACCATCAATAAGAACATAAGAAGAGCCCTGCTAGATCAGGCCAAGGGCCCATCTAGTCCAGCTTCCTGTATCTCACATCTAGCCCCACCAGATGGATGCCTCTGGGAGCACATGAGAGAACAAGATACCTGTTTCCTGATACCCCTCCCCTGCATTTAGCATTTTGAGGTATCTTCCTTTGAAGCCTGGAGATTATACATCCCCATCATGGCTTGTAACCTGAAATAGACTTTTCCTCCAGAAATCTGTCCAATCCGCCTTTGAACACATCTAGGTCAGATACCATTACCACATCCTGTGAGAAGGAGTTCCACAGACTAACAACAGGCTGGGTAAAGAAATCTATTGTCTGTTCTCACTCTCCGAACACTCAATTTGAGTGGATGCCCCCTGGTTCTGGTATTGCTTGCGAGGGAAAAGACCTTCCCTCTATCCACTTTATCCACCCCCTGCATAATTTTATGCGTCTCAATCATATTCCCCCCTCAGGCTCCTTTTCTCTAGATTGTTGTTGTTGTTTAGTTGTGTCCGACTCTTCGTGACCCCATGGACCAGAGTATGCCAGGCCCTCCTGTCTTCCACTGCCTCCTGGAGTTGGGTCAAATTCATGTTGGTCGCTTCGATGACACTGTCTAACCAACATCAGGGTCTCTAGATTAAAGAGCCACAAACGTTGTAGCCTTTCCTCATAAGGGAGGTGCCGCAGCCCATTCATCATCTCAGTCACTCTTCTGCACCTTTTGCAGTAACACTATGTCTTTTTTGAGGTGCGGCAACCAGCCCGTAACACTATGTCTTTTTGAGGTGCGGCAACCAGAACTGTACACAGTGTTTTGTACAATGGCATTATAATGTTGGCTGTTTTATTTTCAATCCCCTTCTTAATGATACCTAGCATGGAATTGGCCTTCTTCACTGTCGCCGCACACTGGGTTGACACTTTCATCGAGCTGTCCACCAGCATACCAAGATCTCTTTCCTGATCCATCATGGACATCTCAGAACCCATTAGCTGATAAATAAAGTTTTTATTTTTTGCCCCAATGTGTATTATTTCACATTTTCTTATACTGAAACACATTTGCCATTTTGCCGCCCATTCTCCCAGTTTGGAGAGATCCTTCTGGAGCTCTTCACAATCCCTTCTGGTCTTCACCACCCGGAAAAGTTTTGTGTCATCTGCAAACTTGGCCACCTCACTGCTTATCCCTGTCTCCAGGTCATTTATGGACAGGTTGAAAAGCACCCGTCCCAGGACAGATCCCTGCGGCACGCTGTTTTTCACCCATTTCCATTGTGAAAATTACCCATTGACACCTACTCTCTGTTTCCTGGTTCTCAACCAGTTCACAGTCCACAAGAGGACCTGCCCTCTTGTCTACTGGCTGTGGAGACTGGCTGTGGAGTTTTATTGAGGGACTGTGTCAAACGCCTTCTGAGACCCCAGATAGACAATATCCACTGGTTTGCCTGAATCCATGCCTGTTGATCTTTTCAAAGAATTCTAAAAGGTTTTTGACACAAGACTTACCCTTACAGAACCCATGTTGATTTTCCCTCCTCAAGTCTTGTTCTTCTATGTATTTTAAGATTTTATCTTGGAGACTATCCCTGTACTTTTTGTAATGTAACTTACATTATATTGGGCGACTTGACATGTGAACAGGAATTCAAGTGAGAACTCATTAATTAGAGGCAATTTGCTGCTGTGAGTTACACCATTTCCCTTCTTCCAGTGTAACTACGTAACATAATTTTGGCCAATATTATATTCTGGCTGCATTTGGAACATAGTGATTAGTTGCTATTTGAACAAGACGCAGGCTCCTGGACTCCCCTTTCCAACACAGATAAAAGATCAGAGACATTTGCTTCACTTTCCCCACAGTTTGTTCTTCTGTCTAGACTTGGTTGAACTTGACTGAATAATAAGAACTGTACATTACAGATATCCCAACACTAGAAAAGAGAATTCTTTAAGTGCTGATTGAAGGATCTTTTCTGGCTTTTTGTAATTTGTAGAATAACTTGATTTAATTTGCAAGCTTGCTTTTTAATTTGCAAACTTGCTTTGTTTTGTTATTGGACTTCACAATACAAGAACCTTCTTTTTAAAAGTCTGATTTCTCAGGAACAAGAGACTGCTTCAGTTGAAAGACTAGCTCACACATATCTTTTGAACACCAATGTGATTTCAAAATTAATCAGTTGGTTATCTGTGTAATGTATAGTTTGGCCCTGAAGTAGACCAAATGTGGCTGTCAGCCAAGAAGTACACTAGCAGCTCCCAAGCACTAGAGAGGTATTATATCTGTAGCCAAGAATTTCTGCTGGGTCAACATGATGTATAAATATAAACCTCTTCAAGCTAAATTTAGGGGTGAGCCAAACAAGTATAGAGAGGGATTTTTGCAAATATTTTTGTCAAATTTCTTGGCATTTTTCAGGGATTATTGTAAGACGGGGCAGTGATTAAGGACAGTGATTAAGGACAGTCGTTCCTGGATAGCTTTGGCTTGCCTTTGTGCCTATAACTTCAGTGTTGGCCTTCTTACACCTCTGTCTCTGCTCCAGGGGTGATCTTAGGTACTGGGAGCAATGCAAAATGCATTGGTTCATAATAGATGTAGGGACATACCTCCTAGTGTCAGCTTCTTGGAGATAGCTCAAGAGATTTGTACCATATTCATTATAGGGAGAGCATTTGGAGAGTGTAAAATATCCATCTTTTTGAATTAATCAAGAAAACACAGGCAACATTATGAACCTCTTGAGTGCCTACTTAGAGCATTTTAAATCTCAGTGTATTGTCTAACTAGAGATGTTCCTTAACATAGAAGAAAATTGAAAAAATTAGTAGTAATTTATATTCTGCTGTAAGGTAAGTTGTGATACAGATTGCATCTGCTTTTGTAGAAAGATGTTGACAACACGGAATGCTTCAAAACATATCTTTTGTGTGGGTATGTGTGTAAAGGTAATGAACAGCAAATACATATTACTCATATTCTAGGCTCCAAAGGTGTAATCATCCTAGAGTACAATCGTATCTTTCATCCACTTCATGTATGTGTAAAAATGAGGGTTGTGGCCTTCAGTGTGGGTGTCCACTTACATCAGATCAGCGTTTTGAAAAATTACATATTTATGTTGTATTTTATAAACAAAGTTAACATCACTGCCACCTTTAGATACCACCTTTTTTCTGTTTTAATGACATATTGTTGTTCTTGTTAATATTATATCAGATGCAGTGGGAGCTTTATCAAATAAAACTCTCTGAAGAAACAAATTGAATTATTATAATACAGGTGACATCCATTTTACAATCAACATTTTCCCCTTTAAATGGAACAATCCTATACTCCAGTTACTGTGTTGTTAGGAATATACTGTTAGCTTCAAAGAGTTAGCAGAAGCTTTCTCCTTACGAAGTCTTGAAACCACAATCTCCAGCACAGTAAGTCACACACAGACAGCAGGAATGCGTGCAGAGAAATATATTTGCATGCTGTACAAACTTACATAGTGCTCACAGGAACGTAAACATTCGGTACTCAACTGGGCAGGACTTCACCAAGACAGTTAAACAAGAACTGCAAAGAACAAAGTAACTTGTCTCTTAATTTATATTTCTTTCAGCAAATCAAAAAAGGGTTTGCTCCAGGATTGTTTATCCCTCAGGGCTGTGTTTTACTAGTCATGTAGGCAGTGATTTAGTACCTAATTAACTCCACCTGTACTAACCATAACGAATTGCTAATTCGTCCGGCGACTGCAACTGGTCCAGAATTGAGCTGCGCGGCTGATGAGTGGTGGGGTCACTAGAGAATACATCAAGCCGATTCTGTTTAAGTTACATTGGTTACCAGTTGCTGCCCGGGCCCAATTCAAAGTGCTTGTTTTGACATATAAAGCCCTAAACGGCTTGGGCCCTGGATACCTGAAGGTCCGCCTCCTTCCATATGAGCATACCCGGCAGTTAAGATCTAGCCAGGGGGCCCTTTTTAATCATTTTATCTTTTATTGTATTTTAATTGAATTTTAATTGTTGTAAGCCGCCCAGAGACCTTTGGGTAGAGTGGGCGGCATATAAGTTAAACAAACAAACAAACAAACAAACAAACATTTCTTAAAGACTTAACATATACCACCACTATGCTGATGGAATGAGAGATGTACTCTCTGCATGCTCAGGTTTTTAAAACTTGTAAGTGAAATATTTTATACTAGCTTATCACAAAATGGACAGTAAACCCAACTGCCATAGATGACGGTACCATTGCCATGTGACAGTGGCCCCCACACTTGGGTAGCCCAGGTCTTCCTAGATTGCAATTCCCAGAAGCCATCATCACCAGCTGTGCTGGCCGGAGTGTCTGGGAGTTGAAGTCCAAGAAGACCTGGGTTACCCAAGGCTGGGAACCACTGCCATATAAGTATCAGTTCCCCTGTATGTTTAATACTTGAAAACGAGGAAGTATGGAGTAGAACACCATGTATAAATTGCCTTGGTTTAATGTTGTTTAAGTGTCTAAAATTTTCTCTCTCTTTTTTTTATAGGGAAGTTGATCAGGATTCTGATGGCCACATTAGCTTCAGAGATTTTGAATCAGCAATGAACTATGGGCAGGATGATTTGCCAGCACTTCCGTAACAGCTAAAGTGTATTTTCTTATAAAAACAGTCAAATAAAAAAAATGCATCAAAAATCTACAAAACATTTTCCTTCGAATTTTTTTAAAGTAAATTACATACAATACTATAAAAAAACTTTGTTGAAGTCTTTTGTGGACTATGTATTTTAATATATGTATGCATATTTCCAATAAATTAGTTTTCCTTTTAGTTTCTTCATGCTTATTGGTATTTCTTCTCCTTAGTGTGTTGTTAACAGTCCTTCATGCCCACTTCGCTTCAGTATCATGGATGGCGCGAGTTCGCACCCGAGGCTGAAGACGGCTATCTTCCCCTTACCCCTTCTTGACCTCGCAAGAGGCATGTGACGCCGACCTCTACTACTGTCGGAGGTGTCAAACGATCACGGCTGGTGTCTGACCTGAACGTCGGCCATGCAGGCTAGGATTATCCTGCTGTTGGACCCGAGGTGAGCTTGGCTTGAGCTCGAGCTGAGCTACCCCAGCTCCAATAGAGGAGGCACCTTATCCCCCCTCTATCGATTGGGACTCCAACTCGCAGATGTCAGAGGGAGAGGAGGACTCGCTGAAGAACATTCCTACTCCAGTGTCGGACATGGCAGGCAACCATCTCCCATCGCCATCAGAGAACTCCTACTCCTACTCCCACCTCATTCACTGGATAGCGAAGGTCCTCGAGCTTGATGTTGAAGTACCTGCAGTCAAAAAGACAGATAAGGTGTATGGGGACATCACTCAGGAACAAACTCCTCCAGTGCACTTCTGATTCATACCCTCCCTCTCCAAACACACGAGAGAGTCATCGCTTAATCCTTCCATCTCCTATCAGACTCTGAGGACAGTCGAGAATCTGTATAAGGTCTATGGTGCTGACATGGATTGCCTTTTAAAGCACCCTTTACCAAACTCTTTTGTTGTTGATAGCACACAAAATAGGGCCTGAAATTGCTCTGCTACTTCTCCTTCTGACAAGGAGGGGTGCAAATTGGATGTCCTTGGCTGGAAGATGTACTCTTTAGCCTCATTTGTCCTCTGGGAAGCCAACTATTTGGCTGCCATGGGTGCTTACCACCGCCACTTGTGGAATTTGGCGCTGCCCATTCTGGAAGCTGCACCTGAGGATGTTCGAGCCCAGGGCCTCTCATATCATAAGGAGATTATGGGGCTCACAAGGCATGAGCGCATTGCTGCCTGCCAGTCATCTCTCTGCGCCGTCATGCTTGGCTGCGCTCTGCTGGCGTTTCTGAAGATGCTAGGGCACAGATAGAGGACCTGCCATTTGATGGAGTGGGACTTTTCGATGAAAAGACCAATGCGATACTTGATCATCTTCTCAAGCTCCGGAAGACGGTGCAGTTCTACTCTGCGCAGCAGCCTCATCCGAGAGGCGCTTGGAGGCATTCTTACCAGCCTGGGGAGTATCAGGATCGTCAGAGACCGCAGGCTCAAAGTTACCAACCTGGACCTCCTAGGCAAGTGGGCAGGCAGCACCCCTGCCAGCAAAACCACTGACCAGATCGCAATACCAGGCAGTCTCTTTAATACTTGTGACTTCTCTATAGTTGACCCATCAGTCCGTTTGGCCTCTTTTCTGCACTCCTGATATTCCATCATGTCTGATTCTTGGGTGTTATCCATCATAGCCACTGGCAATGGTTCGACAGTCCCCCCCATCACAGACCATTTCAAGTCCACCCTCTTTGGAAGGGCCCCCTCTTTGGAAGATGAAATTCAGGCCCTGCTGGAGAAAGATGCCATTGTTCCTTTGCATCTCCCTGATGTTTCAGTAGGCTTCTATTCAAGGTATTTTACCATCCCCAAGAAGGATGGAGGTCTCTGTCCGATTCTTGTTCTTCGTGGCCTGAACTCTTTTGTTACTACTCATAGATTTCGTATGGTTTCCCTGGACTCTGTTATCCACATGTTACATCACAGGGATTGGTTCATGGTGATTGACCTCAAGGATACTTATTTTCATATTAGCATCAGATCAGACCACCGGTGTTTCCTGAGGTTCTCAGTTGGAGGCAAGACCTATGAGTTTAAAGCCCTCCCCTTTGGCTTGTCTGCTGCACCTCAGGTGTTCACTAAATGTCTACCTCTGGTGGTGGCACACTTATGTCTTTTGGGAGTCACAGTTTACCCGTATTTAGATGACTGGCTCCTGGTAGCTGAATCCCAGTCACAAGCTCCTAGACATATGGACTTAACACTTTCCCCGCTGTCAACATTAGGACTGAAAGTCAACATAGAGAAGTCCACTTTGCACCCTACCCAACAAGTGAATTATATAGGGGCTAGTTTGGATGCTTCCTGAGGTCGAGCCTTCCTCCCTGAAAATAGAATTTTGAAGATACAATCTGTATCATGCTCCTTCTCCTCAGGTACATGGATCCCTGCCCTCGAGGTTCAGTGGCTCTTGGGGCTGATGGCATCCACCATGGCTGTGGTGCAACATGCATTGCTGAAGATGCGGTCTCTTCAGGCCTGGTTCCTGTCACTCTTCTCAGTGACTCACGACCACCTGTCCACACTGCTGCAGGTTATGCCAGAGCTTTCTGCACAGCTCGATTTGTGGAGACTCCCTTCCAATTTGCTGGTAGGAAGACCTTTTGGCCTCTTGACTCATACGATCCATGTCACTGTGGATGCTAGCCCAACAGGCTGGGGTGCTCATCCTGGCCACCACACAGTTCATGGCGGAGGCTGGCCTTCATATCAACAAGCTGGAGCTCCTAGTGATTGCCAAGGCATTTCGGGCCTTTGAGACCCTGCTCCTCAGTTGAATAATCCAGGTATCAACAGACAATACCACAGCAGTTTATTATATAAACAAACAGGGTGGCACTCACTACACATTCTGTTTCACGCCATCGACCTCTGGGAATGGTGCTTTGTCCGGCACATATACCCAGTGGCTGTGCATGTAGCAGGCAAAGGGAATTCCTTTGTGGACCATCTAAGCAGGCTACAGTCCTGCTCCCACGAATGAACTCTGGACATTTCAACCTTTTACCACCTCTGCCACCGATAGGGGACTCCAGAAGTGGATGTCTTTGCATCCCAAGCCAACAAAAAATGCACCAGGTATTGCTCACAAGCCGGCATCGGCCGCCAGTCCCTGGGGGATGCCTTTCTGATGCAAAGGTCATCTGGCCTCTTTTACATGTTCCCACCCATTCCTCTCCTGCAGAGGGCCATAATAAAGATCCGGCACAAAAATGCAGATGTGAGCCTTATAGCCCCTTGGTGGCCTCATCAGCCATGGTTCTCTGTTGAGGATGGTCCCTCACCTACTATCTCAGGATGACAGACGGATTTTTCATCTGGATCTCGAATGCCTCCACCTAACAGCCTGGAAGCTTCCCCATCTGTAGCAGATGTGCTCAGCCATGCCTGCAAACCCTCAACCTCCTTAACCTACTCCTATAAATGGAAGGTGTTCAGTACATTTGCGCCAACACACCACTTACCTTTCAGCCCAACATCTCTAGATGCACTTCTTCAGTTTCTCCTCCACCTGTTCTAACAAGGGCTTTCACACTCGACCTTAAAAGTCTACATAGTTGCCATTTTAGCCCACCAGCCTCCTCCTTCTCAAACAGCCATGCTCTTTAGACATTCTACGAGGGCTGAAGAATATACGCCCCGCCTACAAACCGCTAATACCTCAGTGGTCACTCCAGCTGGTTCTTCAATGACTCATGAGGCCTCCCTTTGAACCCTTGGCTTCTGCTTCACTCCACTTGTTGTCCTTTAAA